TGGTGAGAGCTTGTCTGGAATGCAAGAGGCTCTGGGCTGGATCTCTAGCATGGCAAAACGAGCAAATAAATAAAATCCTAGGATTCAGGAGTCACACTAGAGATTGCCACTCAACTGCATTGCTTAGAGCTATCAAGTTTAGGGGAAGCTAGCAAGCTTCCCAGAGACAAAGGCTTCTTATGTTCAAGTGGAGACAGATAATACATACTTCCAAAGTAGTCATGGGGCTTAAGTAAGATAATACAGCAAAACAACAGATACAGGTACACAGTAGGCATTACATAAATTATAGCTATCATTGTCACTGATAATTATCCAAACAAGGCAACCTATCAATTGTTTAGATGACCAAAACATTAAGGAAGATACTAGAGAAAGTTAATGAGAGAATGTGTTTGTGCTGTAAGAGTCAAGTATGTGGTGTAATCTCAGGGGGCAAGAAAAGTAATTAACTAAAATTACCTGAATACTTTAGATAATTGGCATGAGGGCAATTTGTAGAGTCATAGCAGTGTTCTAAAACTGGATTGTGCAGAGGGTTGCATGATAAAGCACTGAGTGTACAGTTGGAATGGCAGATTCCATGACAAGTCAAGGAAAGTGCTAAAAAATTCTCCCTCAGCAGGAATTGAAGTGGGGGTTGGGTAATACAAAGGACAGAAATTATCTTGTACGCAGCATAGAAAGTCAAAAAGAAAGTAAACACAAAAGACAGAGTTAGAGTAATGGAGGGTGGGCCGAGAGGGTCTAAGATACGCTGGAGTCCCGGAGGAAAAGGAGGAATAGCATGGGGCAGAGGCAATTGAAAATAACTGAGAACTTTCCAGTATCGATGAAAGACACCAATCCATAGATTCAAGAAGTTCAAAGAAGGTAAAATACAAAGAAACTCAGTTAGGAAATCATAGTGAAACTTGAAAGACCAGGAGAAACAGCAATAGTGAAAGCCATAGAGAGTGAGAGTAAATGCAGTGAACAATATAGCCCCCATTCTGAGTTACATATCTAGCGAGAATAGTTTCTAAGAACAAAGATGAAGCTGGGGATGTAGCTCAGTGGCACAGTGCCTGCCTGGCAAGCACAAGGTCCTGAGTTTGATTCCTGGCATCAAAAAAAAAAAAAAAGAAAAAAAAGGATGAAGATGAAATAATTTAGACAGCAAAAACTAATGGGATCTGCAATCAACAGGCCTTCACAAGAGCTCCTCCTCTGTATTTTACTATCACAGATATTGTGCATTTCTTCCATTACACTAGGTCTTGAATATCCAATGATTAAGTGCACTCCTTTAATCAAAATTTACAGTCTCAAAAATCCAAACAAGGTTTACCCCTTTAGCAAACAAACTAAAGGGCATCAAGTTAAATTTGAATTTCAGATACAATTTAAAACGATGCTATAAAATGGGCACTTTTGAGGTCCTTCAATTTTTTTGAGAGCTGGTTTTTGTACTCTGATGAGGACCAGGTCATTCAACATGATACATAGGTGAGACCTTTAGTCTATGGTTTGAATTGTGTCCCTCCCGAATTCCTATGCTGAAGTTCTAACCATAAAGTCTGGTACTCTATGATGTAACCCTCTTTAGAAATAAGATCTCTACATGGGTAATCTGTAAAGGTGAGGTCACAATACAGTAATGTGAACCCGGGCCCAACATGACTGGTGTCCTTACACAAAGGGGGACATAGACACAGATACCCAGCACCGCGTGAAGGTGAAGGTGGAGATCTACAAGCCCAGGATAGTCAAAGATTGACAGTGACCTGCCAGAAATGGAAGAAAGGCTTGAAACATATCCCCTGACAACCCTGAGGAGGACCCATGTGCCACACCGGCCTTGGCTTTCCAGCCTGCAGAACTGTGAGTCAAACTTCTGGCGGCTGGGTGAAGCACGGCAGCCCTACTGTAGCAAACCGCGTTTCCTTCCTCTATGTTCGCGGGAAGCCTGCCCAGCTGAAGGTGGTCCCAGAGCTCTCTGGTGGCGCCCTTCCCCTCACAGGTGCTGCTCTGTGGAGCCCCTCCAAGGCCCAGCCCGGGTAGCACCTTAGGTCCAGGGGTCTCTGCCAGGCAACTTCAGCTCCTCTTCCCAGTTCTGGGACACGAGGAGCATGTCCGCCATTTCCCCTTGCTGCCTAAGCTTCCCCACCCAACCCTCTTCTTTACATCTGATAACCGCGAGCAGCTGTGCAGACCTCAGTAACACGTCAGCACACTCGCTCGCTCTTCTGGCTTTCATTGTTGCTATTTCTCCTGGTCTTTAAAGTTTCACTGTGATACGCCCATGTGTGAATTTCTTGTATTTTATCATATTTAAGCTTCTTGAATCTGTGGATTGGTGTCTTTCATCAATACTGGACCCTTCTCGGGGTCCTGCCCGAGGAAACCGCCCCCGCCCTCTTCCCCTGTTCTCTTCTCCCAAAGCCTCCCTTCCATCCCCGAGTGTGAAGTGAAGCTATCTTTGTAAGCTTCTCTGTCCTTGAGTTTTCTCCTTCCTGGAGCCACCTTCTCCCAGCTGACAGAACGTTTATTTCTTCCAAAGTACTAATTAAGCACTCAAGGACTAAGTAACCACTTCAGGGGCGCTGGTAGTGAGGAACCCCTGTACGTCAAGAACATAGCAACTCGGTCATCCCTTAAGAATGGCAGGGCAGCCTCTCCTCAGCCAAGCCGGCTGATGCACATGGCTCCCTGGATGAGGCCCACAGCCCCGAGGCACTGAGGCTCAGGGGATGAGCCCTGGGGTGAGTGTGATGTTTCAGGCAGACAGGGACGTGGGAGGGCCCTTGGTGAAACGCAGAGGCAGGTCTGAATGCAAGTTCTGGTTCTATGTACTGCTAAGCAAACTGAGGCAAATCTTAATGAATTTTTACCTCTGAGTGTGTACCAGCGATGGCGAAGCTTTTGATCTGTCAGTGATACAAACAGCCCACCGCAGCACGCGTACCACCGGTCTGCCACACTGGAGGTAATCCACAGCTGAAGAAGCTACCGTGAAATGGTCTGGCTAGAGTAGGGGTGGGAAAGAGGACAGGCGCGAACACAACTACAGTACCTGGCAGAAGCAGTTGTAAGGGCTTAGTAAGTATGGAATGCTCTGGGAACTCAGAGGCCACTTCCAACTGAGATGATTCCACTACCCTGAAAACAGCGGTCTGTTGGAAAAGACAATACAAAGGCTGAGAAGGGAAGCGGAGGAGCGTGGGGGTGCACTCATGGCTCGGAACCCCGGAAGAAAGGCTGAAGGAAGAACACAGGAAGCTTCCATTCCTGGCTAAAACACCGAAACCTTCAAGAGCACGTCATCACCTCAGCAAAGTCATCTCCACGGCACACCAGTACAGTGCCGTTTGCCTTTAGGAGATAAACAGTAGGCCGCAGTACCTGACTACATAATTCTACGTGGGGGCGCCAGCATTGGAGTACTGTTCATTTTTCCTACTTAAGTAACCAGAAGGAAAGCTACCTTATGGGCAGTGGTGATTCCAGCGATTGTATCAGGGCCTTTGCACTGATCTGCACCTCCAGCCCTTTGTAAGGTTTTCATTAATGTATGTTTGCAACACTGAATAGTCACGTTTTGGGAAATTGGTACATGCATGTACCTCAATTATTTTTGGTCCGTTTACCCCCAACCCCAAATCCCCAATAAGTCTGCCCTTTTGAAGGAAGGTACCATCTGTTTTTACTGTAAAATTTTGTTTGAGACTCGATTTCAGTAAGTCACTAAGTTGTCCAGGTTGGACTCAAACTCCGAGTCTTCTGCCTCCCAGAGTGCTGGGATTACAGGTGTGCAGAAAGCTACTATTCTTTGAGTACTATGTAGGTCTCGAGAGCCCTACATCACACTGTACTGTGACAGGCATCACTATTATAGCTCTGAGGTTTTGAGAGTAATGGTAAGTGGCAGATAGGGCTGGCGCCAGAACTGGACTCCACTCTGAGCCTGGACACCAAGCCCCCAGTACTACTTTGCAATGAAAATCCGGGTCAAGAAGGACTGATCACATGCTTCTAACAGGATTTTGCACACACACGTGCACACACACACATACACACACCCTTAAATGATGGTGCAAACATTTGGAGGACTTTTGTGATCAATCAGCATTTGTTCCTGTCTGTAATAAAACAGCAGCCTCCTGATTGAAATGTACGTTTTTCCCCCATTACTGGGTACACCCCTGGGCACATGGACCCTTCCTGATCTGGAAAGGGTAATTCTTCATCCCAGGTCACCTTTCAGCCCCTCTCCCTCTTTGCAGGAGACACTTCTGAGGGTGCAGATGTCACGTCCGTAAGACACACTGATGGTGGTTGGGTGCCCAACCCTTTCCCAGTCGGGTTACAGAGTGTAAGATGCGGGGGAACTCAGTGTCTGTCCGCATTCCAAAATTCTGGACAGAACCTTCTGGTCTTGCAAGATGCTCCAGCCACAGGACAGCACCTAACTCGGAGGCACAATGCACCACCTTCCAGGAAGTGACGGAAATTAACGCTACCCCAGAAGCCAATACGAGGGGAGACTGAGGACAGAACAGGAATAGTTCATGGTGAAACTGTTTCTCTTCAAAACCCAAGACAGTAAGAATATAAACCGCTTTTTTGGTACTGCTGTCAACCTTGGCCACCACTTTACTGTTCCAAGTTAATTTTTAGACAGTCTCTTTTAGGAAACCTGACAGGTACATCAGATTGGACCACATGAAAATTGCTATTTTGCCAACAAAAATAGTCATTTCCCAAGAATCAACTTAATAATCGTAGCTATGTGCAAATTCTCAAAATGTTTACTACTTTAATTTTTCAATTTAAATAAAGACCCTAGGGTATAAAGAATGACAACATGTAATGCACAATAAAAATTTCAAGAAATATCTATCAAATCTTCAAACACATAAATCCTAGTATGATTTGATAGTCCTAAATGTATTTTCTATGAACTGGTACAGAATTTTTGCAAGGGTGAATGCACTTTAAGAAAGAAAAAAAAAATCTCATTTGATTTATATATTTACATTTTTATTAGAATTCTTCAGAACTGTCAACAATTGGACAACATATCAGGAAAAACCACATGAAAACACAACATCCTTTAAGCTTGCACCGCTTATATATTTACACATAAAGTTACTGTATATATAAAAAATATTTTCAAGGACTCATGGGCTTGGGAATATTCAAAAGACATTATTGCTACATTTCAATATTTACAAAAAAGCCACAAAATAATTTCAAACATTAAGCAACTGCAAAATAACATCAGATGTAAAAAAAATTATAAAAATATAAACTTTCAAGGATATCTAAGACAAAACTCTCAATGAAGTGCCCCTGAAGTACCTAGACATCTACAATTAACTTTTCTTCCTATAATTAAAGTCAAGAGGAACACAAAGGAATTTCTCAGACGAAGTATGGCAAACGGGAACAATCTTCTACGTGACAACACAACCCCCAAACCTGTTACCTTTGGAAAGGTGCAGAGTATCCAACTCCAGTGCAAATGGTTACTTCCAGATTCATGGGCAGACTGCTCTAAAGGTAATCTAAGGGACGGATAAGGGAAACTGTGCGGGCCACAGACCTGAATGAGGCAAGACAACACACAGACCTTGCCATGTACACATTCACCTCTTAAGTTAGGCAGCAAGGAGGAGACGGGGAGAAAGAAGGTAAACTACCAAGAACAACATCCAGGCCACAGCCTAAAGGGTAACACTTACATACGTTTCAGTGGAACGGTAGTATTACGTAAGGTCTAAGGAATGGGTACAGTATGTTAAGTATAGATAACAGAGTGCCTTAAATGTGCAGGGAATGCAATAGGTAGGGCCCTAAGCACCCCACTTCTGACAAGCCTCTACGCGAGCTTTTGGTAAGCTGTTCTAGGCAGCTATATGCAGAGACGCAAGGCTGGTGACGAAAGCCAAGTTAGTTCTTGGGTATCGAAGGAGCCTGTTGGACTCAGGGGAAAAGCATCCCCTCAAACACGCCTCCACATGCACACGCACACGCACACACACTCATATGAGAACTGGCCCGACGTCCAGGACATGTCTGCAAGGAAGGCTGAATCTAACTTCTACTTCCCGCTACACAAGAATCCAAACGAGACAGCACTGCAGAACCACGTGGTAAACCAGTGTCGTCTTCAAACAGCATCAAATCCATTAGTACAATGCTATCCTGAAGCTGACAGGCTCGCTCTGGACAATCGAGAGGGCAAGTTCATTGGCTAAAAGAGAAGGTTTCTGTTCGGACTATGCTTGGCGGCTGGATTCTTTCCTTAAAAAAACAAAAAGCAGTATTAACTGTTTCCCTCAAATTTGTATGGCTCCATCTATTCCTGCACACGGCGGACGTCACACCAGGGTTGTACTCAGAAACTCAGCCCGTGGGCTCCCCTCCGACGGACGGACACGTGCGAGCTACAGATGAGTATATACAGATGCTGGCGAGGGAGGCCTCTTCTCCAACTCAACTGCTGACAGCAAATTCTATCTAAACACCAGGTCAGGTATGCAGAAGCTCATGCAGTGGTCCACAGCAGTGTCTTTATTTCAGGTTCAGGGGCACTTTTTCTTGGCCTAGGTCTCATTCTCAGCATGAAATGTTAGATTTCTGAAACCCAGATCTTCATCCTTGTGTCCTTTATTCTAACCATGTTCTATTTCCCACACACAGATTGATGCATCTTCCTACCATCCTGGATCCTTTCTGTAGGCCAAAGGCGAGTACTTCTATTTATTCAAATAAACAACCAACCATACTTTTCAGACAGAACTGGAGAAGCATCGGAAAGAAATCTGGGCATCTACCCCACCCCGCCCCACCCTCCCTTTCTCTAGATCAGAATTTTTTCTCTGTGTACAGTAGGAGCTACTTTGCTTTGGGGAATATGTACAGTCCCGCGGGTTGGTGGCCAATGACAAGAAAATCACCAGCCACTAAAGTGTGCTCAGAAAGACAGGGTTGCAGTGGGGGCCCACCACCCCGGCACAGGATGCAAGTCGGAGGAAAACCCAGTAACCAGCACGGAGTCAGAAGAACAGGGACCGCTCCTGCAGGGGACGCCTGCCATGGTCCTCCCGCTCACACATCCTCGTGCACAAGGAGCGGCTGTGTGGAGGAGGCGCTGCTGCCGACCGAATTGACCCGCACGGAGTGGTCCACCACCACGGGGTTCTCTGGGTTGGGGGCGCAGTTGGCCAAGTTGGAGTAAATCTGGGAAAACAAGGCCACAATTAATACAGTTATCTGTACCACAAACGCAGCAGCCGGGGGCACGCAGCTTCAGAATCGCAAGTAACAGACAAGGACTCGAGCAGAGAAGCGATTACAAGACCTTGGTGATAAGACTCACATCGTAAGGATGAAACAAACACAAGCTTTGCTTCACTCGTTTCCCCCAAGGAAATCACTTTACACAAGAAGTGGCAGCCGAACACCTGCAAGCCTCGCTCTTCTGAGGGGACCCATTTGGGGACAAGCACTGTCCAACCCACTGGGAAGTTTCACAAATCCCTATGGCCAACTGTACCCCAACTGCTGGTGTGGTCTGCTGAGAAGCCCATGGCTCTTCGAGGGGCCTTCATCTGGGAATGAAAGCATTTGGTGGAAAACACTGTTTCCCCTGCAATACACCCTGACACCCCGCAGAGCAAGCTGTAACCCAGAAGTGCAGTGCAGTGGTGAGCTATTACAGAACGCTCCAAGCACACAGCCCAGAAAAAAAGCAGCTTATAAAAATCCAAATCAAAGTAAGGGTCATTAATTCTTCCTTAGAAGCAGGGGAGGAAATAATAGATGTGCGCTTTCATCCCTCGCTCTCCAAATCACTGGGAGGGACCTCCCAACTTAACACCCCTCCTCCGGCTTCTCTGTGGCTTGTGGCCATAGCGGCTGTCGCCACGTGCTGGCTACGCCTCTGTGAAGAGCAGGCGGACTTCACCGCAGTAACAAGCTGCCTTTGATTCCGGCTCACAGCACACCAGTCCTCCCAGGGGCAAGCGGCCCCGGCCGGGGAGGGGACAGCACCCCAACCCCATGATCGGCACGCAGGGCTGAAGAGAAGCACAGTGAGTCCTCGTGGGAACTTTCCCTTGCATACTTCTGAGCACAAAGCCCTCCTCCCCACCCCCCATGAGCAGCCTTGTCTGGCTCAGAAAGGAGGGCTGAGCAGAAAGACGTTCTAGTCACCTCCTCTGAAGCTCAATTTACAACCCAGACCAAGGACAGAAGTGGAGAGACAGGGTCATCAGCCTTACATCCTGAGGACCACACACCGGGACGCAGATGAAGGGAGATTCCGGCCCCGGCCAGGTACTCACGTGATTGGTGCTGTCAGAAATCTGCTTCTCAATGAGCTGGACAATCTGCTTGAATGTTGGCCGTTTTAGAGGATCGGCATCCCAGCAAGTCTTCATTATGTCATACCTGCCAAAGGAGAGCCACTGTCACTCCTGGATGCCCTTGACCTGCCCCAGTGCCTGTCCCGCGACAACTTCCTCACAGCCCCGGGCACATGATAAAACGCTGCAGAGATTCTGTCAAAACTTTCCATATTCTTGGCAAAAAGAGATCATGAAAAAAAAAAACTACAGCAATGACATTTGATCAGGGTGTCACAAAAGGAACCAAGTGACATTTCAAACTGCACTAGCGAAAACCCTCAACATCTGGGTTTCTGTCTTTAAAATGAAAACCAAAAGGGGAAACCGTTATCTGAAGAAAAATATCCTCTCTAGCCCTCACATTTCAGCAGGTGCGTGCTCGGGGCTGAGCATCCGGAACCCTTCCTTGATCATCTTGTAGAACTTGGAATCAACCGGCATTCCTGGGTAGGGGCTGCTTCCTACGGCAGACAGGAGACAAATCGGTCAGAAACGACAAGCAAGCGGGGCACCAATGCAAACCGCGGATGCTCTGAGTCTAACGAGGGTGTCTCCAGTACCTAAGGAGAAGAGCTCCCACAGAAAAATCCCGTAGGACCAGACGTCACTTTCAAAGGTGTACACGCAGTTGAAGATGCTTTCTGGTGCCATCCACTTCACAGGCAGCCGGGCCTAGGAGGGAAGCACACAGGTGCAGCCATGTTAGCGGAGAAGCTTCGGGAAGAGAACGGGCACACCCCTACGCTTGTTGCTCCTGCTGCTAGGTTGAGGGTGAGAACCGAGGACATCTCACAAGACCTTCATCCACCTGACGGCAGAACAGCCCTGCGGCTTCTGAAGTGGATGGCTCACGGTCCCATTATACAGAACACAGCTGGGCATGGGGGTGCACGCCTGCAATCCCAGCACCTGCGAGGCTGAGGCAGGAGGATCGCCATGGGTTCGAGGCCAACCTGGGCTACATAATGAGTTCAAGGCCAGCCTGCACTACAAAGCAAGACCCTGTTTCAAAGAACAATAAACAAGCAAATAAACAAGCACACAAATGTGGGGACATTCAGTAAGCATAACATGGTGATTAAGGACACAGAGTTCAGAGGGCCACACTCTGGGCTCAAAAATGGCCTTGAGTGATGTCGAGATTTACAGTGTATTTAGCTGCCATTGAATGCATTCCTCCTCTTCCTTAGTAATAGAAAAACGGCCTTCCATAATTAAGACTACATTTCCCAGCCTGCTCTGCAGCTAGCTGTAGCCATGTGACCGGGCCGCTCAGTTGTGTTTGTGGGCTCTAGGGAAACCTCCTTAAAATACAGAAGGCGTGTGGCCTCTGCTGTCTGGTTTGGAGTGCCCTTTCCTTCACTCTGCCTTGTGCATGTAATGCCCGATGGGCTCCCTGTGGTCAGCCTGGGCTGTGAAGACAAGAATTACACCCAGGAACGGCAAAACGTGGAAAGGCGTAAGGAACTGGTCCTCAGCACTCCAGGCAACTTCTATACCAACCCTGGCCTTCAATCTCTGGTCTTCTACTTTAGGTTTCTGTCATATGCAATCCAAACCATCCCTCACTAGTATACTGGAAACGCCTAGAACAAAAATAATACTTCCAATTCCATGAGCTGTGTTATGGCATGAGAGGTGAGGCGGGTAAAATGCTCAGCACTGCCTGACTCTCTAACACCGGAAAAGCCAGCCAGCACCCCGAGAGCTCAGTACGCTGAGCGGTGACCATGTCCGTTGGGGTGGTAGGCAGCAGAGTGAGGGCACACATCCCACAGCTGCCCTTCGTTATTTCCCGCTCAGCACTGAAGTCAAGCCAACTTCTGCGACGACTCCTCTTACAGACAGTCTGGATTTCTGGATATTAATCTACCACAAAAAGCCAAATCAATCCTCTTAATCCGTTTAGGATTAAAATCTGGGAAAAGAGTTTTTTCTAAACTTAGTTATTTTAGGAAGCTCAAAAAATATAAGCTTTCCAACCTCTCTCCCCAGATTCTGTGTTGAATCTCAAAATGGGGCTGTTAACCTGAACACTACGGGCGGCTTGAACCAGGGCTGAACGCACACCTGGAAGGTAAAGCATGTCTCCCTATTGTCAATAACTTCTCAGTGAGGTCTCGCTTTTGAAAAAAGAAAATTACAAATGAAGACCACACCATTAGCAGTGCCTGTGATTTTGCCTACCGCAGCTATAAGTAGGTATCTTCAAATCCTATTCCAGTGTTTACAGGCGTCCTAAAACAATATGTCTATTCACCACGACTTTGAAATTACAGTAGTGTTTAGAATATGTTCCTCCGTGTAATAGAGAAGCACATATACTGATGTACAGAATTTATTTTTTAAAATTTAGTAACTGTGATCCAGCGTAACTGCTTTTCTTGGTAACCCTACATAACACTGGTGCACACTCTCACCCCAGCACCTGGGAAGATGAAGTAGGAAAATCACAAGTTTGGGGGCAGCCTGAGTTACACGGGGAGACCCAATCTCAGAAAACCCCCAAAACAAAAAAAAACAATAAAAACTGCACATTTAACACAGTGTTCAGACAAGGGATCTGGGGGCTTCCCTAGACCGTGAAAAGGCCCACCGCCTAAAGATGACTAAGACCTCGTGCAATGTGAAAGCACTTTCAGAGACCCTGAGCCAACACGAAAATCTCCAATGACTGTGACGCTGATGTGGAGGCAGGGATAAGTTGTGCCGTCTCCTTGTTCTTAACTTGTTTCTGAAATTCTTTACCCAGTAACCTGGTGAGAGGGATATCTGCGATTGGTTAGCTCAGCTGCAAAGTCCACAATCTAAAGGTTTGGCAGGGCCTAATCCACCGTTGTCAATTACATTAACAAGTCACTGAGAAGCTGTAGCAGGGGCTGGGGATTTACTGAGCGGCACAGCACCTGCCTGGCAAGCGCAAGGTCGTGAGTTCTATTCCCAGTACCGGAAAACAAACAAACAAACAAAAAAGAAGCTGTGGCATAAGGATTGTTGTGATTATTTAGATTCACACAAGGCATCCAGGAAGGATAATAAGAATATGCCTGCTATCATTTGAAGCTCTTGACATACAGTAGCTAGTTTAAACTTCACAACAACTTTACGAGGCAGGTGCCAGCATTATTCCCAAGAGGAGAAAAAGTAAGATGTGAAGGAGTTGGATTAATTCTTGCCAAATATCACGCAGCCATGAAATGATAAGGTTATATTTTAACTCTGCAAGACTAAGCCCAGAGGTCACTATCTCCCCTCTTTCGTCCTTTGCCATAGTTAGGGGCTGGAAGAGTGCACCACATTTTCTTAACTACGGAACCAGAATGGAAGGAAGTTGGTTTTATCAGTCCCCCTATGATAACACCTGGTCTGGATGAGCCTTTTCAGAAACGCACGCTCAGGTCAGGAGGTAAGCCCGGCAATTCTTACACAAAACCGAGTCAAGCAGAGTCTACCAACAGAGATGCCACAGTGACGGAGAAAACATTACGTTATTGTAAGGGACACAAACCTCTCCTCCAGGACTAAATCTGGACTGTACGAACAGGCCTGAACGGGTAGGCAGAGGAGTGTATCCACGCAGGAAGTTTGCGGTCTCCCCTGCCAGCGGACACTGCTCTAAAAACCATGAGCTTCGCTGTCAGTCTCTATGACTCATCTCATCTCAGATAAAAATCACTAAAATATACTGTGCCTCCGTCTCTGCAGCTATTATAATGGGAAGACACTGCATTCTAAGACACAGCTTTGTTTGGAGGATACAATGCAACTTGGCCATAAAATAAAACATTTGGAAAAAATTCGCTATGTTCTGCAAACCAATTATTACTTATGAATCTACTTAAAAGCCTCAGTTGATTAGATCCAACATTCTACATAGCTAATTTCAAACATGCTCCTTAGATTTCAAATCATTTTCATATAGTTTGTCAATCTCCAAAACATTCTCCTGCTGTGACCTTCAGGTCTGCATTTGTTACACTTCGGCAAAATCGAGTTCACTGCTATTCTCAGGCTATAATGAAAATTAAGGCTATTTCTGTTTCCTTTACATGCCCCGTAATTACACAATTAGAATTACGAATTCTGGCATTATCAAACGCTAGTAGTCGTAATGTTCAGCATTCCATGCAAATTTTGCTGAAGTATACTTAATTTGACTGCTAAAATACACGATATTTCAAGGTAGGATCTGCATTATGAAAATCATAGAAAACCATTTTATCAAAACTTGAGACTGAAAATCCTTTGCACAACTGTCAGACAGAGAATGGGTACTCACGTTTCCTTTAACCACATAATTAGAATCATTCTTGATGTCTCTGGCGAGACCGAAATCACAAATCTTTGTGACCCGACCGTGAGTGAGGAGGATATTTCGGGCTGCCAGGTCCCTGTGAATGCACTGTTTGGTTGAGGGAGAAAAAAGAGCCATTTAAGTCATTTTAACTTTCAAAGAATGAAAACTATTTTTAATTCTGAAAATGTTGTTTTTATTATAGAAAACCCAAAACTTTTGTTTTACGTGTAAAGTACTCAGCGCACCAAAAATAAGAATCAAAATTACGCCTGGGATGACATTCACATTTTGTGTTTCACATTGTCAGGACCCTAATTACTGCAATCACTTTCAAAATCGATTCTAATAAACGCCGCTCCCCTTTCTCAGCAATGCTTTCATTCATAGGAAAATATATTATAAATAGTCAAATTGGGGTGTTTTTCAAAGGAAAATCTATTTCGTATGCATGTCTTTGAGCGTCCTTTCAAAGAGTTCCTAAAATGTCTTCACAACTTCAATTTGACATCTCCCAAGGACACAGGAAAATGGTCTTTATTTCAGCCATCCTACACCCCGTTTTAGTTTGGTAATTGTTTGCAAATGTCACCAGTGATGTGCCCTCGTTCACCTCAGTTAGCCCTACTTCCCAGAGAATTCCTCTCATCCTCCCACAACCCATGTTCCTTGCTTTGGTATCATCATTTTCTTCCAATCCCCATCCTTTCCCCCTTAGTATTCTCTGCAACCCCTATCTCCTGATAACTCATAAGCCGTATGTGTTAACATTTAGGGTCTAACGTCAATAAAACCCAACTATACGCTTCACCACACGTAGCTACTACGAGGTACACACCGGCTTTTGCTGATAAAATGTTATCTGTTTTCTAGAAGCATATCCTATATCCTAAAGCTAAAAGTTTTAAATGAATTCACTGCATATAAAAGAATATTCATGGAAAGCTCATTTAGACAGGTTTGCACTTTAAAGCTTATAAATTAGAACAGGAATTCCAAAGAGACAGAAGTTGGAACATGAAGAAACTGAATTTCCTCTGCCTTTGGTTACCACACTTCCAAATGACACTCTGCATTCTAACTAGGGCTCTAAAGTACTCTGTTCTGTATTAAAAAAAAAAAAAAAGACTCTTCTGAGAATCACTCTCACTTACGTTCTTCGAAGCAAGGAAAGCCATGCCCTTTGCCACCTGGTAAGAAAAGCTCAGCAGGTCTTCTAGGTCCAGGGCCAGCTCATCATCCTCCATGGTGGCGGGAGTCACGTCCCTTTCTATGTATGAGCCTGCCAGGAGGAGAGGGATGTTCACAGCAATTAAACCTTCAGGGTTAGTGAGACGCTCGTGATGACCACACCAAAGACTGATGTGAACGTGCAAGGCACTCGCTTCCCCAGTGTTGAGGAAAGAAGGATCTGAGTCATAAAATCAACAGTCAACACTCAAATATAAAACAATGGTCAACACTCTTGGGCTGGGTCATCAACTTCTTAGGGCAGAGAGATAGTGAATTTTTTTTAAATCCCCAAGCACACATGAAGACGCCCAGATACAAAAATACATGCTCCAGACCCAGCAGCCAGTGGTAAGCCGTAAGAGCACCGACCCTTGGCTTTGCCACAGAGGGACTCTGTGGAGAATGGCCCTCTACGGCACAGCGTACGACGGAAGCTCTGCGAGCGCGGCTCCTGCGGGGTACCCACCTATTCTAGCCGACCTCCTTTTGTCTGCCTTGTTTGGGACAACGTAAGAAACTCCAGGCTTCATGTCCATGTACTCACTGGCACTGTCACTGCTGGGAGAGAGGAGGAGCCGTCAGGTCACTGCCGACTAGAGCAGGGATGAGGTGGGGCGGCCCAGGGGCCCCTGTGAGCAAGACAGGCTGCTTCCGCGAAAGGCAACGTGACACGCACTGAAGAGCTTAGAAAACAACGTTCTGTAAAACGTAAGTTTTTAATATTGCATAGGAGGGTCCTACCCCCAGGAACGAGGTGTCCTTTCGGTGGGACTCGGGTTAGAACTGCCCCGTCCCTAGATCTGGCGGGTTTTTAACAAGAAGCAGAGAGCCAAAGACACTACTTCGCGCTACTCCAAACTCTGAATGAGCCCGCACAGAGACGAGACAAAAGACAAAAAGGACAAGAGCTTCCAAGATGTGCTGAGGGAGAGATCGTTGACATATAGCGACTGATGGAAGGAGGTTTAAAAAAACCAAGTTTGGTTCAGATAAACACCAATAATTTGGATGATTTTCTGAACCATCTGGACCTCTTGAATCTGCAACATTTGGCTGGAGACTCTTCAAGATTTCTAGTACTTCCTGCTTCTGATTAGCATAGAAACACCATGACAACAACCTCCTTCAGAGCGTGCTGGGGACTCCAACCCATATGGGATCCCAAGGCACAGAATGAATGCCACGCAAGACTGAACAATTCAGGCCATTATTTTTGAAAGTTAAAAAATACATAGAGGGCCAAGGTTCAAGTCTTCACACACAGAAGAGTACGCGCCAGAAACTAACAAAGGGTAGCTGTTACAGTATTTTACTACCACTTTACACCACTGAAACCTACAGTCTAAAAAGGATAAAAATAAAAAGCTTCACCTGGGGTTTTAAATTTTAGCCAGAGGTATGAAAAACGGCTTTAAAAAGTAATCGCCCATCAATAATATTCACTGAGGTCTCCTTGTGGGCCTAACGTTTAGGAATCGGGAGACGAGGCCTTCCCATCTCACACACGGAGGATACAGAGTGGAATTCCTATTTCCTTATTTATTTTGGTCCTGGGCCTCTCGTATGCTGAGCATGTGCTCTACCACCGGAGTCAATTTTAAGAGGGACCGGGCACGACTGCAGAGCAACTAGCCTAGGAAATCTTAAATGGTAGATATTAGCAGCCTTCGGAAAGAAAGAACAGGCAAGGGGAGACAGAGAAGGCGTCCGTCTGCTCTGGCTGTAAACCAAGGAACCTGAAGCTCTTACATGTTCAACCTTAGAATGGCACCGGTGACGAAGAGATGAAAATAAGGCTGAGGATTTTTTACAACTGTGCCAGAGAGCTATGTCTCTCCAGCATGATAAACTAAAGGGGAGGCAGGTGTAGAGGAACAATTGAGAGCATGACGGCAAAAGCTTACATGTACCAGTGTGTTCAACACTCTTTGCTACTTGTCTTAAAGGACTTTACGGTAACAACTTGACCGCCTTTAGCACCTTGCCTGTAAAGGTTCTCACTGTAAAGATGCACGGGGCAGCTGGGCATGCTGACACCTTGGGAGGCTGAGGCAGGACTGCCACGAGTTCAAGGGCATCCTGGACCACACAGTGAAACCCTCCCTCAAAAGACCAGAAAGATACACTAAGACTGCATTCCGCAGTATACATGTAAATAGACCCATGATAAAAGAAATAGGTACAGAAGTATCAGATTGCACAGAACTAAGGCTAAGGGAAAAAAATGCGTATTTTTAAAAAGCAAACATCGAAGTGTAACATGATTTGAATCTTTAAAAACACTATTTGAACTTCCTAAACAGTTAATCACATTTAAATAATTTAATAATTCTGATTTCACACCTCAGAGTACCTCGGTTCATTTTTTAAAGAATCGGCCTTGATTGCAAACCCTTATGACCCCACGAACTGCCTGTCAGCAGCTGACTGTTTATGCAGTCTTACCAGGAAGACTCCTTTGGATGCAAAAGGTTCTTATAAAGTGCTGCTTCTGCCTGATCCTCCTGCTTTGAGCAAATAAATGAATCACGTTTTCTTCTCAAAAAATTCAAAAGATCACCATAGCAACAATATTCTGTAATGACCAGGGTGGGCCCTGCAAGGATATAAGAACAGATTAACAAGAGGTGAGATATAAACTGTAGAGACGCCGATCTCCTGCAAAAATACCCAGAGGTGATCGTGACTGCTAACATTCAGCTTCAGTGAATGTCCTAATACAATTCTATTAACATCACTTGAAAAAGAAGCATCAGACAGGGCAAAATTAAGTAAGAAAGTCCCATTTACCTAACCCTTCCTTCCTTGCTTCCTTTTCTTTCCTTCCTTCCTGCCTTCTTCCTTTCTTCTTTTTTAGGGGGGTACTGGGAATTGAACTCAGGACCTCACGCTTGCCAGGCAGGCGCTGTGCCACTGAGGTATACCCTCGGCACTGGGGATTGAGCCCAGGGGCCTTATGTGCCTAGCCCTTTTTTAAGACAGGGTCTTGTTAGGTCACTAAGTTGCCCTGGACTAGACTCAAACTTGTGGTCCTCCTCCCTCAGCCTGAATCTCTAAGGGACAGACATGCTAGGAGCCAGGCAGGAGAGCTGGCTTTGCAGACCGAAGTCACTCCTTTCAAAGGTTCTATGACCACGCTTCCCGCGAGAACCCTTGATTCACTTCTGTCTGTGGCAGGGCTTCACAGCTCACTTTTGCGAACGTTGTTATGGAAATGAGGAGCGCAGACTGCAGCAGAGTAGGGAAATCGGGCACGTGGATTAGCCAGCTGAGACCAGACTGGAAGACAGGCAAAATCCTGAAACGACCCATGTTCTGTCGGAGTGCTACCAGTGGAAGAGGATTCCGGTGCTCCAAACGCTTAAAACAGTTCTGAAGTTATCAGGCAACGAACTGCCTCGGGTAGAAACTGCCTCATGAACAATTCATGATCCGGCGAAGTGTCACTTCTGGATTTGTGGGGGCTGTTTTTACAGCTTTACCTAGACCTGCCAACTTTCCCGTGATCTCTGCAGATCTCCAGGAGCAACTCATCTTACACATCTTCCAAAAGCAGCAGAGACATCCTCAATGGAACCTTGACTAAGACTTCAGGATCAGAAAATGATTCTTACAGAAGTGAAATGCTTACTTCATTTGCTGTGTATTTGAGAATGGGGTGACTTGGGAGCCTATTTTAAATCGCAGTATGCAAATGAATGTTAGCTCTTTATTGACTAAATATGATCCAGCAATACAAATTGATAAAATTCTGCCGGTTGAGCTGGGACATTCAGAAGACTGATGCTTTTGATGTAACGTATTTGCTGGTAACTAGTCTATGTCCTGAGCATTTTTTACAGGATGACAAAAGTAAAATCCACCTTCTTCTTTAAAAGTCGTGTCATCATTCATCAACTTGGTCACTCACTTATGCTTTCACTATAAATTCCCAAATGTTTCTCTTATCGACACAGAATACCTGCACTTATTCATGGGGCGCACTATTATAGTGTCCAATGCATGTTTCAGTGTGTAGTGACTGAGTCAGGATAGTAGTAGGCCAGGCACAGAAAGGCAGATATACGTTTGCTCACTTGTGGAGAGAACAGAACACAGGTCACTGAGAGGGTAGGAGGAGGTGGGGAGTCCTGAGCGGGTGGGAACGAACACCAGAACCCTCAGAGAGAAGGAAGTGGTTCTCACATTCCACAGCATGGTGGGCAGTGACAGTCTACAGGGATAATGACATATTTCAAAATAAACAGACTTGGAAGGTTCCTAGAACACAGAAATGATAAAATGTATGTTCTCACGAACAATGAGGAACACAGAACCGAGCGCCAGGGAACAAAAGTCTGGATGAAAGTCTTGCAAGCGGTTTATCATGAAGCACAGTCCGCATACTGTGATATGCTCCTGTTTTGGTAGCCTGACCTAACCGAAGGCCGGTGGGGCGCAGCCTCACCTCCCACAGTGCACGCTCCGAGGAGATTCACGATGTTCATGTGGTTCCCGAGGTAACTCAGGACCTTGAGCTCAGACATGAGGGCCTCTCGCTCCGTTAAATGGGCGCTTGCTGAAATTGGAAATGGCTTAGGTTAGCAAAATAAACCAAATTTGGCAACAGGTACTAGGCACATCCCCCAGCGCAGAGACACTCACGTTTCAGCATCTTGACAGCGACAGTCATGGCCGCATCTGATTTAATCAAGCCGTACGCAGTGGCCTCCACAACCTTCCCAAAGGCGCCAGCACCCAAGGTCTTCCCTTTAGAAAGGAGGACAGCAAGGTCAGAGGTGGCCCTGGAACTCAAGCCTCAACCTCCACAAAGGAATTCAAGACAAGTGTCTCTGGAGACATTTCCCTGTAATGCTCCCTCCGCCAGCCCTGCTAAGGTCTCTGAAATTTCACAGCAAACATGTTTCAGGTGCAACAGCACGAAGAAAGCCAGCAGAGTTCCCTAAAAGCACTGTTCCGCGCACACAGCGAGGCCGTGTGGAAAGCCCCTGCCGCGTACTGACCAAAGCTCAGCCTGTTTCTCGGAAACTCCCACTTGTGATCGTAAGGAAGTTGTGTTGGGTCTATGTAAACATAATTGTTTCCATTTATCTCCTCGACAACCTTCCACTGCACTTCATACATGGGCTTCTGGGGAGAAAAACAGACAGATCACCTTTTAATGATGAACGCTCCGCCACTACAGCACCCGGGGGAAGGAACAAATTGATGATTACCTGTAAGTACTTGTAGGTGAGAATCATCACAATGATGCACATCAGACCAGCTGTGATCACAAAACCAATCAGCAGTGGGGTGAACAGGGTGTGGGGATGGGTTTGCTCTAAAACGGAAGAGAAGAGGGAACCACACGTTACTAGCGAGACAGGGTCTTTGGTCCAGCCAGCTACTCTGATGGACCCTCCTCCCATCTCTCAGCCTACATGGGATGCGTGATCACTACTGACTCTGGATATCAAACGAATCAAAATCCGCCCCCAGCAAGATGACGGAGAAGTTTAAATTTCTGTAGCACATAAATAATTTTATGCTGTGTTTCAATGAAAGACAAGATCTGAACGGGCTTTCCCCTTCAAAAACCTATCTTAGACAACGTTAAGCTTCCTTTATGAACAGTTTGTGTTTCTCCTTTTGTTTTCAAAATTTCCTACGCTGAGCATACATGTCTTTCACAACTAAGAAAAAGCACTATTTAAAGTATCCTTTCTATGCCCTGTCCAGAAAAAAATCAATAATATACAAAAATGTAACATTCTTCCCCTCATTACTAAAAAGTTGAGAAAATACTACTTTTTGCCAGTTTTGTCAATTAAAAAAAAAAAAAAATTTGACAGACTACAAAAAACTGAGCTCTAAAATTTTAAGTGCCAGGTTTGTCTTTTAACTTTATACCAGTTCATCAATTTCTCTTAAGGATCATTTAATTTATGCTGAAGGAAGTAATCACTCATAAAGCACATTGTACACAAACTGTTTGCTAGCACACCGACAAGGTCAGTGTGAACTTTCTGATTCAGTGTCTGGCAAAGTCAACTCATTTTAAATAACTGAAATGTACAACTGAGTTTAAATTTTAAACTTCAGTAATTATGCTTGAGCATAAGGTAAGTATATTCTGTTATTTACTCCCAACCCCTTTCCAGTGGAGACAATTATGAATATATGATTAGAGAGACACGTACACGCGTGGGTGTACACACACATAAAATATGTAAAGAAACATGGTTAAAATTACTCTGAAAAAGCATCAGCTTCATTAACGAAGTAGTACAGAATGAAATTCAGTGAGTTGGATGACAGTATGGCGTGATGGAGGTTTACCAGAAATGACATGGCTAATGTTGAAATGGACTTAGGCGTGATGGACATGACAAACAAAGCCTGATATCCCCTTAAATTGGAGTAAAAAGAAATATACCTTTGTTGTTACCTTTAAATGCAAAGTTAAAGTAGGCAGAAATCTTGCCCACATCGTTGGAAGCCTTACACTCAACAGTGCCATTGTGCCGGAACATGCTAGAATCTACGGAGCTCTGCACCAGGAGCTTTCCGAATGGTGGCACAGAGGGGTTCTGAACCTGGACGTCCACTGGTTGGACGGAATTAGAACATCTAGGAAGAGAAAAGAACGGGGCAGGGTTATTTCAGGGAAACAAACACACGAAACGCCTCGGATCTGACATATGTTTACAACAAAGTTAAAATTTCACAATCAGTAATAATTCCCTCTTGGAAAGCCACTGGAGTCTGAGTACTTCCATGGCCCTGAGAAAGCTGCAAAGTCCTGCAGAAGGGAAGAAAGAGGGAGAAGTTTTAGAGCCAGATGTGGGTTTGAAACTTGACTTAAACATGCCCATTCTGTCTATTCCAAGAGCCGGGCAAGCTGGCCATGGTGGTACACGCCTGGAATCTCAACATTCTGGGAGGCTGAGGCAGAAGGATCCCAAGTTCAAACCCAGCCTTGGCAACTGAGTGACTTAGTGAGATCCTCTCTCAAAATTGACTAAGAAAACACTGAAAATAGGCTGAGGATGCAGCTCAGCACAGGTGCCCTGGGTTCAGTCTCCAGTACTGTTACAAATATAGTGGCAAAGGCCAAACTCTGACTGCACTGTGTTCAGTGCCGGGCTACGCCCCATTCCCTCTGTAACACCTACAGCACACACGGCGGTCCTGACCCTGACCGACTCTCCGCACGCAGGAACACAGGCTACTGCAGGCAGAGACCAGGGACGCGCCGTTCACCAGACCAGCACAGGGTGGCCCCCATGTCAGCGCTCCACGCAGGACGGGACTGCTGGGCTACCTCGCTGGGGGTCCTGGACCCTCCCTCTAACTCCCCTAGAGAAAACATTCTGCTAAAGCTCCTCCCTAAACAATAATCCTACGTAACCTCTTCTGACATGGTATCGTAAAAAGGTCTATTCCATGAAAGATAAAATTTCTACTAGCGCCCTGACCATTCAGTTCTAATGTTAAACTGGGCTTTTAAAGCCGGAGCACCGAACAGCGTTTGACGGATAAAAACAGCAACGCTGACCCCATTTTCGTCTTCAGGTAACGTGAAAGGACAGTTTAAGGCTTAGGTGTGGACGGTGAGGGAGAAGCCGCACAATGCCAGATGCTCTCCGTTCAGGGCCTGCGCACCTAATCAAGGAGAAAGCCTTTTAACACCCGTTGCTTACAAACGCCATATGCGTACTGTAATTGCGCGATCATTACTTTTTGGTAACTTGGCAATTAACTTGTGAGGTAATTTTTTCATGATAACTACAGCCACGTTTCCCACACACATTGCCTCCTGTGTACAGAATGGAAATCTAATTACTCTGGCCTGGAAAATTGCTTTATCTACCTGCAGGCTAGAAATTGCATGATAAATCCAAAAAGATAACCACCAAAATAGAGAAGTCATTCAGCAATCATTTTTCAGCAAACAAAATTAATGTCTATCAGGAAAAACATGGTCATTATTCCTCCCTTAAAAAGCCACATGGATAAAAAACGATAATAATCAAAACAAAGCTTTTTATTAAAAAAAAAATCTGAAAACACATTTGAAATTCAGCTGAATTGCAGTCCTTCCCTTCTGCATTTTAAGCAGCGCCAAAAATAATCATCTCACCTCTGCTCCGTTCCTGGACAAAAATACCAATCTATTGTGGGCTCCGGGAATCCCGCTGCCACACACTGGAGAGTGCCATTCGTGAGCCTGTCGTAAGTCAGGATTTCTGGTTTTGCTGCAGGAAAAAAAAAAGAGAAGCAACCATATGTCAGACTGCTGAAAGGCCTCAGAGATTCGCGGCACTCTTTTTAATCCTCACAACCCTTGGGAGCTGCCTCTGAGATGCAGCGAACATTTGCTAAAAGGGGAGAGAATCTGAACAGGAGAGGAAGATGCAGACACTATGTCCAGCCAGGAAAGACTTCCACAGTGATCGCCGGACCACCCCTTCCACCTGCAGGCAGTGGGGTGGCCAGCAGGGCCTGGCAGCGGAGGGCGCGGGACCACCAGTTTCTGCTTCACTGAGCGCAGGGGTCTGAAAGACGGCTTCGGTCCAGGCTCCAGAAATCCAAAGTGGTCTAAGAGTGGATCCTGGTTGAAGCATTCCTGCCAATGGGACTGCAAGTTATTATACCTGTTGTGGGATTTCCAGTGACCGTGTGAACTGGAATGGACAAAATGAGGAGTTTTTAACAAAGAAAGGAAAGCTCTGCTCTCTTTTTTAGGGCCAGAGGGACACGATGAAAAGGAGAAACACCCTGTGGATAGGGAAGCCAAAACATGAGTAAAATCAATATAGGTTTTTAGCTCCAAATCTTTACTTCAGATACAAAAACCAGAAAATTACAAGAGGAAACTAGCCCCAAAATTTTATTCATACTTATACCAAGAGTCTGAACATAATCAGGAAAAACATAAATTGCATCAGCAGGAAGGCTCTAATTTGACATCTCTGTGTAACTATAATAATCAGTGGATATTCAACAAGTTCAACTTCTTGAAATTATTTCTAAAGTGAAAGGAGGATGAATTCAGTCTGGGTTGTTTTAATGACAAACTCTCTGAAGGCTCCTACCCTCTGACAGAGTAAGGTAAACTGAGCAGGCCTTGAGGACAGGGGTGGTGATGTGCTCCCCGTACCCGGGGTGGGGCGGGGGCAGCTCGCGCTGCTCCGAGTCTGAGCACAGAACCTCGAGGGGGCGTGGGGCGGACAATACGAACACCAGCTCCCACTCACCCACCTCTGCCACTGACAGTCCATCTGTCTGTGTGCAGAACAGGAGCAGTACCAGGAGCCATCTACAGAGATGCCCAGACAAGAAGGCGCATGGGAAGAACTGAGAGCGGCTCACAGAAATGTAACAGCGCATTATTACTATCATTACTGTTACTGACTTAGGCATTCTTTTCTGATCAAGTACCGAGAGGGCAGCCTCCTTGGTTAATCCAGTTGGCTACACAGTAAGTGAATCAGCCAACTTTTAATACTCCCTTCAATGATCTGAAAATTGCCTCTTTAAGATAGTACCGTCGTGTGTGTGTGTGTGTGTGTGTGTGTGTGTGTGTGTGTGTGTGTACCAATTAATTTCGAACTCAACATCAATTCTACGGCAACTCACCGAAACAGACCTGGTGAGGAGGAATGACCGATGGATCAGGAAGTTTATTTTCCCAAAGACAGGTAACACTAGTGAATTATGTCTTTGGCGAGCGACCTCTCAGCGTTCACCTCCCTAGAGGCAAAGCAGTTGGCAGGGATCAGGGTGTCCACATGCGTGACACACCCACCTGTCACTCAACCTGGCCCTGCTGATGGGCAGGCCAGGTGGCAAATACACACACAGGATGACTCTCCAAAGCAATCTCAAGGTAGGAGCATCCTTGAGAGTCTGGATCCAATGCCAGCTTTCACAAATAGAGCAAGGAGACGAGCCATCATCTTGCGAAAGCATCCATCTGGCAAGTTTCATTTAATTATCATGGGCAACTGTGTGATCAGGCTGAAAAGTAGGACATCACACACACAAAAAACAGTGGACTCGGAGGAGACTGTTATTTTCTGGAGACCGCAGGCACCACACAGTGGGTCTGCACCACACAGTGGGTCTCTCGGCCTCACTTAAGTGTCACCTCTTTTTCCCAGTGAGCTCCAGCTCTCCCTAGCCAAGCTGGTGGGTCCCTCTCCCCATCCTCATGGTACTCAGGAACACCTGACACCGCCATGCCGGATCCTGGCTGCCACCTCCCCCAGCCTCCCTGTCCTCCGGCCAGAAACCTTACTGGTCAGAACTGACTCCGAGCACAAGGTCTGACCCATGGCAGACACAAGGATCCCACTCAAAAGAACAAGTCTCAAAGAACTCGAAGACATTCAAATAGGCCCACAGGAAGGGACCTAGGGGTGACTTCCCAAGTAGGGAACTACTGCCACGACTCTTACAACAGAGGGTAGTAAGAAATCTACAGCTGTGCCTCGCCGTGGGACTTTTCTTCAATATTGAGACGAGTGACGACTGAGAAATCCGCACAGAGACGGCAGGGCTAACTGGGCGGGGCAAAATACAAACGGGGTCCCAGTCCCTCACACACACCTACACAAACCTACACTCCGTTGTCGCCTATCCCCGTGCCTGCAATAACACGAGCTGGGTTTTTAGTGAAATTAAGTACTAACTCAATAGAATAAAAAAATTGAATAAAAAACTTTTTAGGGGCTGGGGATTTAGCTCAGCGGCAAAAGCGCCTGCCTGGCAAGTGCAAGGTCGTGAGTTCGGTTCCCGGTACCGGAGAAAAACCAAAAAAAAAAAAAAAAAAAAAAACTTTTTAAAGGCTAAAAGAATACCTTACAGTGTTGGAGATGGTTATATCTGGGCAGCACAGTTATGGATAGTTCCAACCTTATTCTTTTGACTTATTCTCTAAATTTATTTTACAGTCAATCCGCACGTAGCCAAAAATGAACGTAGAAAACATTTTAAATAAAAAAATTGGACGGGTTCAAAATTACATAATCGCTTACCTATAGCTTTGGCGGTAAGTGCGCTGAGAGCCAAGCCTTCCGGCCTTGACCCCCGACAGCAGTGCGGTCTGTGACAGTGCGCGCGGACTGGCCTCCCTCTGCCTGCGGGCTGGTTCACCGGGTGCTCTGTTTTAAGGCTACGATCCCAGGTGGGCTGTCACCCGAGGCCCGTGCAGCCACTTTTGCCTTGCTGTGCTTTCGAGGACCCTAAGGCTCCAAGGTGCATGAAACTAAAAGAGGAGGCGAAATGCGGATTTCTGGGTCCTGTCTCTGACACTCCTGTACACCGTGGATCCAACCCAACGATGTGCTTTGGATAAAGCACCTGGAAGGAGTCCTGATCAGGGCCAGGACGAGACAGAGGCAAAGGAAACGCCCAGACTGCGAAATTTCAGAGGAACCAACCCCAAGGCCCTTCCGTAAGGCACCTGCAGCTCCCTCGCCTCACCACGGCCCCAGCCGTGTCCCCACTGCCGCCGGCGCGACACCTCCTCTCAGAACACCACATGCTAGCGGGCCTGGGTGGGCCGTACACGACAAGCTGCACTAGGACAATGCTCAGTGCATAAAGAATGAGCCAGGTAGAAATCCGATTCTTGAAAGAGAAAATCTGCATTTTGTAAGTGCCTCAATGCACCGTGTAAGGCATTAAATATACATTTTGCTGTTAAAGATGCATAACTCTGCAATTCTCCAGGTGAAATCGGAGCTGTGGTTTCTCAGATATTCTGCAATAAGCAGTGTACCAAGTGACACATTCCCTAATTCCTCCCAACTTGGAGGTTCAGATAAGCCTAGGAGGTGCATAAGTTACGTATTTTCCTTGGAGATTAAAAAAAAAAAAAAAAATAGCCATTTCTCATCTCAAAGCATTGTGAACCTAAGTCCCCTGATCAGCTTGTAGGCAGTAATTCCACTGAGAATTTATTGCTCGTGCAATTAAAAATCTGAAAGATTCACCGATTTACCCTAGATTTGTGATCTCAAAAAATAACTCCCTTTCCCCACCATCAGGTCCATGTGCAAGGCAAGAACAAAATGAATTTGAAGGACACAGCACAGATAACAGAGCTGGCAGCGGAGGGCTGGGAGGAATCACACGGAACTATCTGCTGGGGGAGGGCTTTCCCTCATTCACCTCCGCTGGCGAAGCGTTTATGAGCAGAGCTGCTCTCCCCTCTGGTTCCACCTCGACCATCTCCTGTACAAAGCACATCTGCCCGTACTCTATAATCGGCAGGACAAAGAACACAGCCGAAGTCTCCAAATAACAAAAGACTAAGTGGAGAGCGATCAGAGAGATGCATTTCTGCTCCTGCGACTCCAGGTTTGCTGGTGTTTAACAGAGATGTTGCCGCGCTTTTCAGCAGTTTGTCACTCTCCTGGTTTTTAGTCTGGGTGAAACCTACATTCTTGCCACAACTCTGATAATAAAGGAATTTAAATCCGCTGAAATTGGGAATGTAAAAATAACCCAAGCTAACTTTTTTACATACTAAGGGAATATTGTACTTTTTTTTAGAAAGTCCCCAGAGTAGATATTTTTGAAACATACTGTGTTTGGATCCTTAAAGATATCCAGAAATTAGTATATAGGACGCTTCACTGAAATTTAACAAACAAAAGTTCAACTATGACCTCCCGTACCCACTTCTAACAGAATACCTGTATCTTTAAAAACATCATTGTTTTAATGAGTAATGTTCACAACAACACATCAGCAATCTTTTATGAGAAAGGATGAGATGACAATTAAGTATTTTAGGCTTGTGTGCCATCAGTTCAGCCCTGCCATGGGAGTACAAATGTAGCCAGATATTTCTGAACAAATGGGCATGGATGTGTTCTAGCAGACCTCAGCTTACAAATACTGAAATGTGAATTTTATTCTCATGTCTCACATTTTCTGATTTTTTCCCCCCATACCAAAAACAACAACAACCACAAAAAAACTCTTAATTTGTGGACCATCCAATACTAGGCAGCAGGCTGAATCTGCCCTGCAAGCTAATGCTTGCTATCCTTATTCTAACCAGCCAATAAAAAAAGACCCTTAGCTGGGCATGATGGGTGATATACAGCTATAATCCCAGCACTCTGGGAGGCTGAGGCAGGAAGATTGACAGCTTGAACCCAGCCTGAGCAATTTAGCAAGACATCTGTCTCAAAATGAAAAACAAAACAAGTTGGGATGTAGTTCAATCCTGAGTACTGCA